AAATATGACGTCACAAAGCACTGCCTATCCCCCCCCAAAAAAATAAAACGTGCTTCAAATGGCTTTAAACTATTGTCATTGTAGTGCGTATTTAATGTGCCGCTGCACTCGGATGTTGTAGAAGAAAACATTTATTAAAAAGTCTATTTAATTAAGTAGAACGTGTTGTCTATATTTATTTAAAGTTGCGCATTTTTATGTGACGTCACATTTCTCACCCCCCCCCCCCCCTCGTCACACATTGTCACAAATGTCTGACCTGCCCCCCCCTAGGTGTGTGACGTCATTTATAGACGGCCCCTTATGGGGCTCAAGGCACGGTGTTTGAGCCACATCTCACCATGCTCCAGTTCACTCAGCTCACATCCACGACGCGGGTACATAGACAAATACAAAGCTCGGGAGAAGGCAAGCATCAGCCATGGCTGGGATCCATCAGGCAGCGCTGCCGCATGCCCAACAAAGCTGAATTCAGCCGCACAGACTCAAAGGAGCTGTGTGTGTAGACGCGAACAATAGGTCCAGTTGAGCCAAAACAGCCTTGAGATGTCATGCTGATGAAATGTTAAAAAATGCATGAATAAAACACTGTCAAACTGTTAAGGAATTAACTTAAAACGTAGGAACTTATTTCATTCACTTGGCATTCATTTTTCCTTAAATAATGTATTTATAATAAATGGAGGCCTGTTTGAATATGCTGGTCGGAATATGTCCCGAAGGTATTTCTCTCTCTCTCTCTCTTTGACTGTCGCAATGTAAAAAAAAGCTCGTCTCGCGAGCAGTGTTGCGGAATTTACATGCACGCGTCTGCTTATATCGCATTTGTACGTGTGGATGGTCTGACTGAGCGACTGACTGATGTAAATTTCGATTTAAAGCTTTCGTGACTGCAGGGATTCATCTTCTTGTTTCTTTCGGTAAAGTCACGTAGAAGGGAAGTAATAAAATAATAAAAATAAAACAATTCTCACGACGTTTCGGCTACAACGCAAGCAGCCGTCTTCAGGTGAAGAATGAGACACTACCAAACTAGGAGCTTATATATAAGCTGCATTGGGGGTTGAAGAGCGCCTTAACAAAAAGAATGTGCATGTGAAGAGGGATTTAGCATATTCATGGAAAATGCGTAGGCGTTGGGCGGGGGGGTGTCAAAGTCATATTATGCCCATGCATTATGCAGGATCAGCAGCAACCAAGGGGGGTGCAGGGATTAGCAGTAACAAAGGAAAGGAATGTTAATGATATGTAGCTGCAGTTACTCAACAACCACGTAGAAAACTAAAGTATAAACTACATAAAAAACTAAAGTATAAACTGCATCGCACCATCAGTATACTTACTATACTCTATAATAAGCTGAGTTACTAACAGCAAGTAATACATTACAATTTTACCTCGTAAAAATTCTATAATATGCTTCCATCTAAACCTTATTCTCTTACATCACACGAGCATATACCGTACTATATACTGCCATAGATAAACCCAACATTAAATTATATACTGTATTGCTGTAAACCAACCTATATCTTATACATTTAATATCACACTATGTATTATTCTACACACCCTAATGTGTATCGAAATGGTTTATTACGTCCTTCCAATGATTGCTGAGCCAGAATCCATCTTCTCGGTTAAAGTTGTCTCTGTGTTTGTATATGTGGATCGCCTCATGAACGAATCTCTCATGATAGCCAGATGGCTTGCAGAGAACCTCTGTCTTGGAGAAGTCAATATCATGTGAGCCCACTGAGTTGTAACAGTGATCTGCCACGGCTGAGGTGTTAGTCCTACCGTGTTTCAGGTCAGCTTTATGTTCACGGATGCGGTCCGAGACATGTCGTTTGGTTTCCCCAATGTAACTGCTACCACAGAGGCAACTTAGTTTGTAGACGCCAGGGTACTGTATGTCTGGAACCACATCTTTTACAGACGGTACCAGATCACGGATTTTATGTACTGTGTTGAATCGGACCTGGATCTTGTGTTTAATCAGGATTTTGGAGATCTTTTTTTTTTTTTTTTTCCCACCACCATCCATCTCAGAAGAATTCCCTCATCAAGACTCTATATCATAGAGCCCAATGCATCTCCGACCATGAACACATTTCCAGTGAACTCAAACACGTACGCCAAGCTCTTAAGGCAAATGGTTACTCCGACTATACAATCCGCAAAGCCATCACTCCAACCATCAAGAAGGATCCTGTTGAGGAGCCTTTCAAGACCATCACCTTACCCTACATTGCTGGGGTCACAAAAAAGATCTCCAAAATCCTGATTAAACACAAGATCCAGGTCCGATTCAACACAGTACATAAAATCCGTGATCTGGTACCGTCTGTAAAAGATGTGGTTCCAGACATACAGTACCCTGGCGTCTACAAACTAAGTTGCCTCTGTGGTAGCAGTTACATTGGGGAAACCAAACGACATGTCTCGGACCGCATCCGTGAACATAAAGCTGACCTGAAACACGGTAGGACTAACACCTCAGCCGTGGCAGATCACTGTTACAACTCAGTGGGCTCACATGATATTGACTTCTCCAAGACAGAGGTTCTCTGCAAGCCATCTGGCTATCATGAGAGATTCGTTCATGAGGCGATCCACATATACAAACACAGAGACAACTTTAACCGAGAAGATGGATTCTGGCTCAGCAATCATTGGAAGGACGTAATAAACCATTTCGATACACATTAGGGTGTGTAGAATAATACATAGTGTGATATTAAATGTATAAGATATAGGTTGGTTTACAGCAATACAGTATATAATTTAATGTTGGGTTTATCTATGGCAGTATATAGTACGGTATATGCTCGTGTGATGTAAGAGAATAAGGTTTAGATGGAAGCATATTATAGAATTTTTACGAGGTAAAATTGTAATGTATTACTTGCTGTTAGTAACTCAGCTTATTATAGAGTATAGTAAGTATACTGATGGTGCGATGCAGTTTATACTTTAGTTTTTTATGTAGTTTATACTTTAGTTTTCTACGTGGTTGTTGAGTAACTGCAGCTACATATCATTAACATTCCTTTCCTTTGTTACTGCTAATCCCTGCACCCCCCTTGGTTGCTGCTGATCCTGCATAATGCATGGGCATAATATGACTTTGACACCCCCCCGCCCAACGCCTACGCATTTTCCATGAATATGCTAAATCCCTCTTCACATGCACATTCTTTTTGTTAAGGCGCTCTTCAACCCCCAATGCAGCTTATATATAAGCTCCTAGTTTGGTAGTGTCTCATTCTTCACCTGAAGACGGCTGCTTGCGTTGTAGCCGAAACGTCGTGAGAATTGTTTTATTTTTATTATTTTATTACTTCCCTTCTACGTGACTTTACCGAAAGAAACAAGAAGATGACTGATGTAAATTATGGTATTGATCTTAAGGGCTGGGAATGCTGTAATTTGGCACGCATATATTTTTGAGTCTTTGCACATAACTGAAAACGTTGACAAAATCAAAACCTCAAAATTGGGGCCCCAAAATAGTTCCACTCATAGGGCAGGATCAGTCTGAACATCTGAATTGCTTTAATTCTCAAGCTGAACACGGAAATTTGATCCCTCTCATCAGTCAACCAAGTAGGTCACCTCTCATGGAGTGTTACAATATGGCCGTTAGAAAGTTGACAGAGCCCTCAACACCAACATATATTTGTATAGCTAATCACAACATTTTCCACATTTGTACATATAATGCTGAACATACAGTAACCGTGCATGGTAACTTGCAAGTGTATGCACAGTTATAATTCACATCATTACATTTTCGACCGTTTCGAGTAAATATAACGTGTCCAATAACTTAACTTTCCCTAATCATATAAGAAAGTTATCGATGTCCTTCATGTACCCAGGGAGATCATCAATGAGTCTCAAGATTATTTTTCAGTAAGGTCCTGGACATCAGAGTGTTTGGACAATTATATGAATGGGTTTCCGTTTTGGCAAATGGGAAGAAACTGGCATACCCCGAGAAAACCCACATCCACACCAAAACCTACCCAAAGCTCCGCACGGATATATCCAATATTCCAATGATCTACTGCCATCTCCTAGCAGTCTCATGAACATATAACACCTGGTATTCCCAGGTGGTCTTCCAACCAATTACAAACCAAGCTCAACATTGGTGAGATCTAGATCGGATGCATCGGGGGAGATTTTTTTCATAGCCCACTTGTAAAGGTGAAAGTTCAATGTAAATGTTGCAGTTCCACCAAATGATTGAGGGATAAAATTAAGTGACGAACATCTCTTGTAGCTCTTGTGAGGAATGTTCCTCTAAAATATTACATACGATGCTAAGCATATGTATCAAACGGATTACACACATTCACATATACTGTTACATTTCCCCCATTAACTATGTACATTTGTCATCCTGCTCATTCTGAAATGGCTAAGAAGTGAAATAATAGCCAATTATTCAGGTTTCCATTTCGAAATCGAATTTATATATTTACATATATGTATACAAAAAAACCTTGGAACCTTCCATGATGGCTGTAAAAAGTTCCATAGGGGCGAAATTCCAGCTCTCCAATCCAAGTTAGTTTTTTTATGTGCCAATTAAACTCGCATCGTTCCACTAACAGCAAATTACGGTTTCAATCTCTCTCCCGTGTTTACGCTTAGAGGGCTCCCAGGGTTGTGTTGGCCATACCCTCGGAACGGGGAGGAATTTTAAACAGTCAGAGATGACTTTGTTGGCATGACATCGTAGCTGAAAACCAAACGGTGGGCATCGTTCATTCCCATCGAGACGTTTCCCAGTGTGCTCGTTCACGCAGCCCATTTCAAGAAGCAGAGAGAGAGAGCAGGCGGAGCCAACGGTGGGCAATCCCTTACAACAACACGCACACATGTGAAAACTAATGTGTAACCTTATTTTGAAAATGAACGTTAAATTTGACATGCGTTTGTCTGTTCCTTTCACACCGACCCCAGGACCCTTTGCGCCGCTTCAGTACCTGGCCGCACGGCTGTGTTGCCGTTGGCTACGCAGCAGGGAATGCTGGGAGATTTGGGGTTGCCGTGGTTACCGGCGCCCACGGCGACGGGCTGTGGAGGATGACGGCACTTCATGGGACTCACGTGCGCTGAGGATGGGACAGCCATTGACAACGAAACAAAAATTGAAGACGTCAAAACAAATTAAAATAAACACCGGGGAAAAGAAAAAGCATGAATATAAAACGATAAAAAATAATGATAGATGTGAACAAAGACACGTGGGTGAAATCGTACAAAATAAAAATGTTATGAAAGCTCACAGATCATTACGCTGACCTTTCACAATGGATTGCCGGGGATTTCAGTCCGTGTGTTCAGCTCTGTTGCATTGATTACGAGCTATTTAGAGCTGGCCATCATATTTACAAATATTCCATTTCCACGTGACACACAGGTGAACAGCGCAAGAGGCCCGTATTAACACCTTCTTTGCAAAAGCATGGAGTCATTCGACATACAGTCCTGTAAAAAGGTTCACAATGGACAGGACGATTTTTAACACGAATGCTTTTGCAGCCAACATGATTCATCATTCATTTTTTGAGTCAGATCGCATCAAGAAAATGTGTCATAAACCTGCCTCCACTCGACATAGCCAATTAATAACGTTGTCACGTGATGAACAAACACGTCAATTTATTACGGCTTCAGCAGCACCATCGGTGTTGTTTTATATATTATTTAGAACTTCTTTCGCGTCATACGTAGCCAACCGTGCTAAACACAACATTTACATGGGTGCGACGTTTCACCGTGCTAAACACAACATTTACATGGGTGCGACGTTTCACCGTGCTAAACACAACATTTACATGGGTGCGACGTTTCGCTGATAGCTACAACCAGCCTCATCAGGCATTTTCCAGAATTGTCCTAGCGAAATGTCATAACAATTCAAATGCTCTGTGCTGAAGCAGTAATACGTTGGCCACGTTTGTTCACGTGTCAACATTATTAATTGGCTGCGTCGGGTGGAGGTGGGTTTGCGACAAACATTTTACTCACGCCATTTGCCGCAAAAAAATTCAATTACGAATCAGAGTACGATTTTTTTTTACATCTGTCCGTTACTGCGACGGCTCTTCACTCGAATCCCAGGAATTGCATCCGAGAGATGGAATTACATCTCAAAATTCACCCACCCCTGTGTCACCGCACAGCAACCAACATTTTTAATTAACGAGAGTGACACGATTTAAGCTGTGCTTCTTGCATCTTTGCCTGCTCGTCACAATATCAAGCAGCAGAAAACAAAACCGTGGAACTCCCCTTCACGGGGCACGCGTGTGATTGTGCGGCAGAAGCAATCGTGAGTCTCCTACTTTACAGTTCCCCGTGCATTTCGCACGGATTAATGAGTTGGAAAGTTGCAATTTTATGAAGACCAGACTCCCTGCGTGTGTCCATTACAATTTTGGTTATATTGTTATTTAATATTTTTCATGTGTTATTTTTAGGTTATCACATCCTGATTTCTGGCAGCTAAGAAGGTGATAAAAAAAACGTATCTTGTTCATAATGATCTGGGAAAGCTTCGTAAATTGAATTACTGGCAACGGAGTATTCATGTCGCGATTGGATAAACACTGAATGTTTTTCTAAAATCATATTCTTGCGTGTCCAATTACACCACAGATGAAATGTAAGTGCACCCGTTTCACATTAAAACTTGGAATCGCATATACATTTTTCCACACTGACGATCTTAACTCTGAACATGGCAGTGATGAATCAAGATTTAAATCGTGTGTCCCAGAAAATTAAAACGATTGAAAATTCCATAATTTTCAAATTACAGCTTTGTCCAGTGGGACAGGCAAACTTGGACAAGAATGAGGCCTACATGAAGTTCTTCCTCCTGCAAAACGTAACTGATTAAAAAAAAAGAATGCCAAACATCACAAAATATTTAATCCAGCTTGAGAAACGAAAATCTGGCACTTAAAAATGAATAATAAAGTAGACCTAGGCTTAGTTTTTTTTGCTTTGGTTAATGCTAGGGCCAGGTTCGTGGCTATTATCAGTGCTTAGCAAAACGTTGGGATCAGTGTTCAAGTTAAATGTGTTGTGTGAGCTGAATTTGTGCTGTACATAATACTGACATGAATCATATTTATACCTTCAATTACATTTACTTATGTATGTTAGGATTAATATCATGGTTAGGAAGAATGCAAGAGTCATCGGTGATGACGAGAGTTAGGCTACGTATTATGGTCAGCATCAGGGCTAGTGTCAGAGCGTAAGGCTTAGGATTAGGTACAGAGTCTGTGTCAGTGTTACAGAGTGTTAGTGCTCGTGCTGTCAACGTGAGTGAAAGTGTTAGTTAGGTTCCCTGTCAACATGCTCGGGTAAGGTGACGGTGTTAGTGATGGTTTTAAGGTCAGTGCCAGTGTTAAGATCACAGTGTCCGTGACAGCGTGAGGGTCTTTGTCACTGTTCGGTTCAGCGGCAGCGGTTGGGTCAGCGTCGGTGTTCGCGTCCCTTTCCAGCGGTATGGTCAGTGTCAGTGGCAGCGTTAGGGCCATGGCTAGTTGGGCACCTGTGCGACGGTTGATGACCTCAGCGATGGTCGGAGGGAAGAACCCGACTCGATCGGAGCCCCGAGCTTCCTGCACCACCCCCTTCCAGCGCCCGTCCAGGTGCTGCCCGACCACCTGTAGCCGGCAGAGAACGCTAAGCTGCACAAGCAACCGGGCCAGCAGCGCCAGCGACTACTGCGACCGTTACAGCAGCAACAGCTGTCAAAGCTGCTGTGTCAGTTGGTAATGGTCGTAGCAGTAGTGGCTGTCGCAAATAGCAACAACAAAGACAAAGATCCACCCCCTATAGCCTTTAACAGATTGTTGGGGCAAGTGCTGTTAGCGGTTACCTGTGAAGTCCGGCACGGCACACGAGGTGGTGAGTGGCAAGCGCCAAGCCCAGCAACCTTCGTCTCATCCGGGGCTGATGTTTAACACACCACACCAGGTACTCATTTGAAGATGAATTGACTGATGGGGAGGCCATGGACCGGTTCAAATTTTCACCACTGGTGTTTGGTCATGAGTGGGAAATCATGCTCGGGTCGCCGGGTTCGTAGCGCAGCGCGCTAAACACTCCACTACCCTTCCCCACAAACACACAAAGACAAAGATCCCCCGTATAGCCTGTAACAGACTGTTGGGGCAAGTGCTGTTAGCGAGCACCTATGAAAGCCGGCACGGCACACGAGGGGTTGGGTGGCCAGCACCACGCCCGGTCGCCTTTGTCTCTCCAGTGGCAATGTTTATACAACCGCACCAGGTACTTATTTGAGGCTGAGTCGACCTAGGGGAGGCCCAGGACCGGTCAAGATAATCGTCATCGGTGTTGACTGTGAGCGGGAATCGAACTCGGGTCGTCGGGTTTGTAGCACAGCGCGCTAACCGCAACACTACTCTTCCCCAAACACCACACACACACACACAGAAGGACACGTGCACGTGTGCGCACATGGCAGAATGCACTGCACACTCACCGTGATGGTGTCCCCGGCTTTGACCGTGAGGCTCTCGGGGTCGTACACATTGCTGAAGTCCTTCACCGCCCGCACCTGCAGAACCGCAGAGGCCTCTGTGCATGGGGCGGAGGTCAGGAGATTGGAGGTGGTGGACAGGTTCACGTGATGTGAAAGAAACGGAGACAAGGAGATGACAATTTCTTCGGGAATAACAATGGACCAATGGGTTGAGGTTATAGAAAATTTGGAGGCACTGATTGGGATTTAAAGATGATTATCATGATGTCAAATATACTGGTGACTTCTAGATTGCAATTCCAGGGTGCTCACACTTTCACCATGGCAGAATCCCCAAAATACATTTGAACTTTCGCATTTGCACGTGAAATGCACTTTCATTAAATGTTAAAATACCACAATACCCAGTGCAATTATTTTTAATCAGCATCGAACATATCTGAAGCCTTAAGCATCACAGAGTGCGAAAAAGACTTTAATATTACGCAGTGTGTGCGCTAAATTAAACTCTGAAACTGTGCCGTGAAAACTTGCCATCACGGTGCAGTGTGTTTAAATTGTTGAAATTGCACACACCACACGCAGCATGTTTGACCGATCACTCCATCCCGCACCAGACACCTCCACCACAAATGTGCAGATTGCACCTTGATTAAAGCCCATAAAGACCCTCATCAGCTGCATGACAATTATCACCCCGCACGAAAGAGAGTGGATGCTGCCCAGGAATAATGATTATCACGCCGTCAGTCCGATTGTTGCTGCTAATGTTCTATCTCTTGGCTCGGCAGTTGAAACAACGATGCACGTTCCTTACATTCCTCCGCCGCTGGTCCACCCAGCGCCAATGAATAAGATTCACCACGGTTTAACACGTAGGCTTTCGCGACCAATATTATTCATAATAAAGGTTTTTAGGTTAGAGCGCGTTATTATTAAATGCGTCGTAACCCTCCACCACCCGACACGGCCAAACAGTAAAAAATGCGTCACGTTTACAAAAGACAAATAGTTCACTACTTTAGCCCACCGGTGTGTTGAAGAGTGAATCAACATCATTTACAATTTTTGAGTACGACGTTTCGCTGGTAATTACATCCAGCATCATCGGGCAGGTCGTGTGTAATGGGGTAAAGTGTGCGGTACCCCCGCCTCTTTAAACACGTCTGGACAGCATGGAGGAGTAGGGCAAAAATACCCTCCAGAGGCATCCTCTAGTGGAGGCCCTTCTGCTAGCAGTGGTGTGAACAAACAATTGCAGGGCTGCACCGCTACCTTTTACTGAACAGACCATGGGACGAGCCAGTCCATTAAGAGATCCTCTGTTTTGTTCAGGGTTTGTACCATACAAGAAATTTGCACGTGGAAATGCACGCACACAGACAGACGCACATGTTCGGCACGTGTGTTTTTGCACGCACGCGCTCACAGAGGAGCGGACGGATAGACGGTAACAATATTTGCCAGATACAGCATAAGGAGCCTGTAGGCCCCCTTAAAACTGTTACTCACTGCAGTGGCGTCTCATTACTGAAGGTGCACAACAGTTTTAATTATTGATTATTAAAGTTATATCATAATAATAGGAACTGTTGAAACGTAAAGCTCTACATTTGATTCCCAGAGAGGCTAAGGATCCCGCTCCTCTATAATTATCATCAGCTCTCGCTCCACGCTTCAGAAGCTTGCCACTTTTCTTCTCACCTCACTGATATGCCAACTATGTCCAAATTTATTCGCTCAAATCTATTTCCAGTTTGGCAAAAAAAAAAGATTAAAGCGTAAGTACATCAAGTTAGAGTTCCCCAGCTAACATTAAGGATTCCAGAACCATTACAAGTTAGAGATCATTCAAATTCATGCTCCAACAACATGCCATGATGATGAAGAAGCGGACCAAATGTGTTAAATATACAGTGTACGCCAACTACTCATCGAGGGTAAAGCACAGGGCAACATCGTCATGGTTGACAAATGCAAAAAGGAGAGACGGGAAGACGCTTGGTAAATTTGGCAGCGGATTAATCAGAGAAATGAGCATCTGTTTAGAGTTTGCAGCCAGCACACTGCGTGTATGTAAAGTAATGAACACGTTGTTCGTTTTTTGTTACAAGGAAACTAGAAAATCAACACGGAGAAACCCAAATGGAGGGATTAGGCATGAGATCGACTTCCTTCTAATTACGGGAAATCTGCTTCTTTATCGCGTTGGTTGGAGTTGAGATTCTACCAGCGAGAGTTTTCGCGACGTGACACGATTTAAAATTTCGCGATGTGCAGCATGACAACCGATTTTTTCCGCAATGGCCTCTGCTGACAATGATGTAGCGTTGTTGTTGGAGCAGCCAACAACAATTCCGAATAAAATGTCCAGTGATAATAATAATGTTTTTAAACCAGCGAACAAGTGGAGTGGATCTTCTTGGTTCTTTCGGTAAAGTCACGTAGAAGGGAAGCAATAAAATAATAAAAATAAAACATAATAAAATAATTCTCACGACGTTTCGGCCACAACGCAAGCAGCCGTCCTCAGGTGAAGACCAGCGTCATTCAGACGCTGCCTACCCGACAGACCTGGTCTTCACCTGACGACGGCTGCTTGCATTGTGGCCGAAACGTCGTGAGAATTATTTTATTATGTTTTATTTTTATTATTTTATTACTTCTCTTCTACGTGACTTTACCGAAAGAACTAAGAAGATGAATCCCTGCAGTCACGAAAGCTTTACATCGAAATTTAATGCAAATCTGCCCCACTTGATTGTGGACTTCTAAGTTGCTTCCCCAACCCTGCCGTGCAATTATTGGCATTCTCCGCAATATACCTTCACTTGGAAACCAACAATAACCTATATATTATATTCTTGGTTCTTTCGGTAGAGTCACGTAGAAGGGAAATAATAAAAGAATGAAAATCAAACAATAAAATGTGAAAAAACCGCCACTTTTTTCAAATGTTATTGCTGTGGTTTTCACACCTGATGACGATTGCTTGTGTTGCAATCGAAACGTCGTGATAATTTAATTGTTTTATTTTTATTATTTTATTATTTCCCTTCTACGTGACTTTACCGAAAGAACCAAGAAGATGAATCCCTGCAGTCACGAAAGCTTTAAATCGAAATTCAAGTGGAGTGGACTCACCACGCAGCATCTGTTTTATCTCCTTGCTGGCCTGCGATCCCGTGAACTGGTTCACGATGTCCAGCGCCGTCTGGTTGTAGGTGTTCCGAATGTGCACGTTCACGCCGGCCTGCGTAGATGGGGGGGGGGGGGGGAAGCGAAGCGGGGATTGGCGGATCACACACAGTGATCCATGATGCGTGCAATACTCCAAACCTGCTGGTGTGAAATATACCTGCTGTCTCGGGTGTGGACCAATCAACTTCAAGGACAGTGCATTCATTATCAGAGTTATGTTTTTTTTTGCATTATGACTGCAGGTATTGTGATCTATGCAAACATGACTCCTCGTAAAAAGGTGTCAGTTTTGTTGCCAGATAAAAGGGTAAAAAGACAAATAATCATAATTTTTTTACTGGCAAATAAGGTACCAATGGTATACCTGCCGGGGTCGCGATATAGTTGCAGAGCAAGCAGATTTATAATGTGTCCACCCGGTAGATTGTGCGTGTTCTCCCCGAGCAAGCGTAGGTTTTCTCCGCATACTCTTGCAGTTGAATAATTAATTAATAAGACTTACATTCGAAAAACACACACAAACGAGTCCTCGTGCTTTGCTCTAATGAACAAGTCAAATTGTGTTCGGCTCTAATGAAGATTATGATGGTGCACTCACATGCATTGGCATCCCCCTATGCCAACAGTGGAAATTGCACGTTCACATGGCAGGGTACAGTCCCTCCATTGGTTAAGGTCTCTTATAAACTACGGGTGTAACAATTGACATACTCACATTCTTGCATCACCCACTCGCCAAGGGTTTTAAATTAACTGTTTTGATTCAAGGTCATTGCAGGATTCGAGAATAATGCACGCAAATTGAATGCAAACGGTCATGCGTATCTTTATATTAAATAAATGAATAATGTACAAAAGGCACACAAGGCACAGAATTACATATATTGTCTCTCCAATGCTAACGCTAATATATCACAATAGGTACTCGTTCATGGCTAAGTCGGCCAAGGGGAGGACCAGCACCAGCTCAGATAAATGTCACTGAATTTGGCCGTGAGCGGGAATCATACTCGGGTAATCGGCTTCGGAGTGCAGCGCGCTAACCACTGCGCCACGGCTCCCCACGTATACACACAGACACACCCTAATATTGAATTAATGGTGCACAAAATGCATACAAACCATCGCCGATCCACACGTGCACACACGAACGCAAACAAAGAGCCACGGCACGCCCACAGGGGGAGAGATGTCACCGCGTCTGGGCGGCGAGTAAGCGAGCAAGTCGACTGCAGGCAGGGAAACCAACCAAGATCATCGGTCAACCCACCCCACCCCACACCTCCTCTACATAAAAAAACAACCCACAACACAGAGGACCCTAGTCCGACAATTAGGGGCAGGTAATGGACGGAGAGGCGTGCGCGTTACCCTCATCACCGAGTCTGTCTCCCAAACTGCCAGGGATGTTCGCCCAGGTCGATTGCAATCAATCGTGGCCACGGAGTGAGCAGCATGGGAGCACGAGCTCTGGCAATGGAGCCGAGGCCGAGCGCAGCGCGAAACAGCCGCGCGCCGTGATGCGGCGGCGTGGGTCGTGCACTACAGGCGAAAAGAAACCCGCTCAAGCGAGCCATTTGCGATGTTCATCACCCCTGGTCCACCCTGAACCGCAGGCGTACAAACCATGGCAGATGCGCATTCCCGACGCACAAACGGAAAATTGTAAACTCTCCAGTGTGCGACTGTGGTCATCCAGAATGTGTAAGGACGCAACGCCCGAGCCGCAAATACGAAGGAGACATCACAGCGGTACACGCTGCTGCTCTTGACGAGGTCGTCTGGCCTGAACACCTGAATGTGACATCGTGGGTGTTGCTCTGCATCAGCAGCCGTACGACAGAAGGAGATCAACTTTGGTGACCCCAAGCTCTGTCATGAAAATTCCACATTCCCATGGTGGCAACCAGACATTGCAATTGTTGACTTCCTAAGTAAGTAACTTCATTTGGTATTCGAGTCAAGCTTATAGCACTATGATGGGCTGAGTTGACCACTGACCAGCATTTTAACTCTCTTGTGTTCCGACTGTGAGTTGATTGAGCTGAGCACCGTGACAGCCAATGCATCGACTAGATTTCCACAGTGATCGTTATTGGTAAAATGTAAAGGACATAAATACAAAGACAGGACGATGAACAGATACAACGGGCAAAAATACAGAGGCATACTAAGATACACGAAGACAAAGACAGACAAATGGAGAACCGAGGAGGGTGACATTTAGTTCCGTTGCTTTGTTTGCTGTTATAAGTGTGGTGATCAGTACTAGGCATGTAAACATTCACCCACGTAGCAAATTTACAAATTGCTGTGATGTGTGGTCACGAGCCAATTCAAGAATAGATTATTTTATTTATTTTTAACCATCTCTTTTTAATTGTTTCTTGTGTCATCTGTCTCATTTCTACAGTTCCCCCTTACCCTCCCCACTCCATCAGTCTCAGTGAATCGTTTGCATACACCTCCTACAATCAAATGTCACACATACGATTTGATGTTCAAATTTATAATTTATTTTACTTGACCAAGTGAGAACCCAAAAAGACAGGGGAGTTTGATTTGCAAGGGTCTGCCAATTGGGGGGCGACAAGCACTCCGTACAATCCAAATTCATAATAGAGGTGTTTGGGGTTAGGTCGCGTACATATAAATGTGTCGTTAAACCCGCCACCACCTGATACAGCCAATTAGTAAGGTTTGTAACGTAAACAAAATAAGCCATTTCGTCATTTTAAATAGATTCCTAAGCTCAAAATTAATATGTACAAACGTTACTAGTGTAATGACAGGGTGACACCTGCTGGCCTGGAAGGAGAATCACGGGTACGGGCACGGTTAAGTTACAACTCATCAGAGAGGGAGGTGTATCTTGAGCAAAGGGAAAGGTGGGGCTAGTCGAGATACTCCGGGAACCTGCTCGAAGGTTCCACGAGAGGGCGTGGCCGGAGGCGGGGCCTAGCCACGCCGGGGGGATATAAGGGGGAGCGGATCCGGGGCTCGGGGTTCGTGTGTGGGGTCTTAGGTTCTGGCTGCGTCGCTGCTCGCCGACATCTCTCTCCATCGTCCGGCCACGTGGAAGATCTCCTGCGTGGTTTCCATTGCCGTTATCGTCACGCCGCCAGCCAGCGGCGTAGCCGAGTAAGGCAGATGGGACCACGCCGAGTGATCGGCTGTGTGTAGCCAGTAGAGACGGTAATATCTAGCGTTGCACTCAGTGTGAGGAAGAGTAAGTGTTGGCCTGCGTTGCGCCCAGTGTGAGTGATAAAGAAGAAGTACCCTCTAACCGACGTGTCGCGGAAGTCGCTCATTACACTCGTAACTAATTGACATGTTTTGTTTACGTGACAAACCTTACTAATTGATTGTGTCGGGTGGTGGCGGGTTTAACGACACTTATTTTGACACAATATAACCCAAAAACCTCTATTATGGATAATATTGGGCGCGAAAGCCCACGTGTTAAACATAATCCGAATTGCAGGCCATTTTGAAATTTGGCAAATTTGGACCCTGACGTCCGGCACACACGATGACCTACTTCAGCGGAGGAATGATGTCAGGGGACCTTTAACATCCACTTGGATGAAGCATACCCATTATGGTTGTTGCACCCGCAGTTATAGTCGGGGCGACCGCTGGATTCATACCGCGAACCTCTGCAGCAAGCGGCGAACGTGCTCCCGCCAGGCCGTGTCACTGCCGACGTTTGCACATGTGAATTGTGAGCCAAAGAAAATGTTTTAACCAATCAGCTGGCGCATCATTAGATGGCTGAATATTACAGCCAAGTGCGGTTGTGGTGGTTGTAGTGGTGGAGCACTCATGTGTGTAAATTCGCACCTCCGATTAGCGTGGTTGGCAACATACGATGCAAAAAAAGTTCAACGTTCATATATACATACAATCCAGTGATTTATTGACTGGGTTCGAGATCTTTGTGTGTGAGCAACACGCCAGCAGGGCTACAAGTTGACCGCTAGATATTAGTTCAGCAAGCCGCTCACCTACCTTGAAATTGGAGGTTGAGTGTGGGTTTTCTCCGCGCCCTCTCCAGGTAAATTTACTCAATTAAAAAATCAGTCAAACGACACAATGCGGGACCCTCTTGAAAAAAGTTGTGCTTGAGAATCAGTGAGGAGGCTTTTCTGGGTATAATCGAGTTTGATCTCCTGCTTTCAGTTAACGTAATACGTGTAAATACACGCACAGGTCAATTCAGCAGACAGGCTGCCAACAAAGAGCATTACGTGGCAAAGTTTCACTGAGGAAATCACCGCATCGCTGATATTCGGATGCACTTTAATGCTGCTTTACAATGCATATTTAATGACACTCTTAGCACAACCCGAAAAATATGCTGTGTTGAGTTGAATGCATCCTTGAACAAGCAATTAAAATGTGATAAATCAACTTTTTTTTACATTCTTGGCCTTTGAAGTGCTTGACGCAACTCGATCATTAATTTACAGTCTACGGTTGCCGAAGACGACACCGTTTATTGTACCAATGACTTTGACTTACTCTCTTCTGGAAATGAACCAAAATGTTGAGTTGTTGAAACTGTGATGCCATCGCATAGATTCAGCAGCATCCTAAAAAAACTTCGATATGCAAACCTTCTTAGGCCCAGGTTTAGGCCCAGGTTTAAAAACAAAAAAAATCACAATTTTGCCTCCCGGTTTGAGAGATAGAAAAATATCCTCTCGAGGCACAAACTGTAATATTTTAGTTTACCCAAAAATGCAAAATTGAATCGATAACACTGGTCAACACATTTTTCTGGCATAAGGTATTCCAACGGTTTTAATGTAATTTCGGGGTGTTGATTCCAAATCTGGCATCATTTTTTGTCTATCACATCAGGTTTTTGAGATATCAAATATTGCATTTTCAATCAAAACTGCAGAAGAAAAATATTAAATAAATGTGGATATCTACATAAAATTATATTATAAACACACTATCCTAAAAATACAGCACCATATTTTAACACTAAAGCAGTCACTGACTCGCAACAACTTGCAATCATAAGTGACAGAGTTAATTTCGGGTAAAATCAATGAAAATGGGATATGCCGATAGCATAACAAGTAAACCCGTAAAAACAAAGTTTTTCACTATAAATCCTTTATATGCGTAGCATCTGGGCAGCTAGAGTCCTCTCGACCTCTGGCTTGAGATGGCTGCCACCTATGGGTCAGATGATTGTCTGGCAGCATTAAACAATTGGTAATTAAATATTTAAACATTTTTCCCTAAACAGTGTAAAATTTAGGATTTTTTTTTCACGAAAATGCATTGTCACGCACAACGAGTCTGTGCAAAATATCAGTTCGATTGGATGACGGGAAGAGGGTTAAAAAACGACCGAAAGATTTGCACGGTCCTAAGCAAGCAAGCGAACTTAATATAAAGGATTTAAAAATGAGATGTGATAGAGCAAATCTGAAATCAGATTTGGAATCAGCACCCTAAAATTAGTCTAAAACAGCTGCAAAAGTCCAGGCCAGAAAACAATGTTTTTTTTTGTTGACCAGTGTAATATTTAGACCTGCGATTATATTTGTACCTGTGTGGAGTAAACACTCTATAGTCTATCCCTTACAGACGGATTCGGTAGAGTCGGCTGTTGTTGCTGTACCACCTCCTGGCGAGCCAAGGGAAGGGAGTTTCACAACATCTGTGCGATCCACTAACCCACGCCTCGACCAACCCTCGCCTCCGCAACAGTGACGATTATCTGAACTCTTCTTGGGTCTCCTCTTGGTCGATTCAGCCTCAAATGAGTACCCGGTGTGTAGTGTCTAAACATTGCCACTGGCCACCCACCCTCCCATGCTCGCGAGCAGCATTTTCCCCAACAGTCTGTTAATGTTTTGATTTAAAGCTTTCGTGACTGCAGGGATTCATCTTCTTGGTTCTTTCGGTAAAGTCACGTAGAAGGGAAGTAATAAAATAATAAAAATAAAACATAATAAAATAATTCTCACGACGTGAGAACAATGCAAGCAGCCGTCCTCAGGTGAAGACCAGGTCTGTCGGGGAGACAGACGCTGTCTCCCCGACAGACCTGGTGTTCACCTGAGGACGGTTGCTTGCATTGTGGCCGAAACGTCGTGAGAATTATTTTATTATATTTTATTTTTATTCTTTTATTACTTCCCTTCTACGTGACTTTACCGAAAGAACCAAGAAGATGAGTCTGTTAATGCTTTCAGGGAGGGTTGGGGGGGAATCTTTGTCTTTGCAAACGCACTGGCGCGTGTGTGTGCGCGTGTGCGTGCGAGCGCGTGTTTATCCACGCGTGGCCTCACGTCGATGAGCAGGCGCACCACCTCTGTCTTGCCGTAGAGCGACGCCTCGTGCAGCGCCGTGCCCGACCGCGTCTGCCGGTTGATGTCGATGCCGGCGTTGAGCAGCAGCCTGTACGAGGGGGAGACGGCGCACGTTCCGAGTCGCGCTCGCAAAACCGCGGCCACGGCGAGCCTCCCGCAGCCGGGCAGCACGAGTCAGAGCGCGCGCGATCACAGTGCCGCAGCATCTGCGATTCGCGCTGTTGGCTATGTGCGGTGCGAAATAAGTTCAACGTCATATACACACACGTACGTAGCGTCAACGCTATGAAACCGACGCCTTCGCTTCCTCCCATTGAGGACCTCTGCTACAATCTCATCACAGCCATCTGGGGTTTACGATGAGTTGCAAACCTCTGCGTGCCACTCCGGTACCTGGTTTGGTAAACTTCTGTCCTCCACCCCGCACACGTGTCCCGCCCATCGCAGCCTGCTGTTACTCAGTTGTATTCAATAAGTATCCCGCATGTGGTCGTGACTTAGTGACTGATGTACATTGTAATTGGTGTCCAGAAGATCTAGAAACATGAGAGTTAGCACAAATACGACTATTTAATTTTAGTCACTGGAAATTTTGGCCAAGAGGTTAATTTGTTTTACTCATAGGGCATGGTCAGCCAAAGAGCATAAATCCCTTTAAATCGAAACACGTACAAACATACGATCGCCATCGACATCGAACTGGATATTTCACCTCTCGCAGGGCGTGACGCTAAAGCCGGTAAAAAATGGTAATAGACTGTAAAAGTAATGATAATGAAAATTACGATTAAAAAAAACACAATAACGGAGCAGATTAAACATAAAATATCCGTGACATCTCATGTTTGTTATGCAGTGTACATCAGCAGCTACACACAGAGTATTAAAAGATGGTTGCTTAACCACCATGTATTCCTGCTGCTTCACGTGACTGGGTAGATAATGATGCATTAAATGTTAAACAACACGTTCATAAAACACAAGGGCTTGATAACCGCGATGTACACATAGAGTGTCGTATGCTCCGTCTTGCCATTGAGAAAAAAGAAAAAGACTAGAACCAACGTTCAGGAAGCCGCCTAAATTCAATCACACATTTTACTTTTGGGGCTCATTCCTCCAACCCAATGGAATTCCGTACACGCTGAAATAATGCACAGAGCCTGCACCATCACAATATGAGCAGTAACACCCTGGTACTGTGGTCCAACATTTATCACAATCCCTAACGCAGCACTCGAACCCAAGCACTAGATCTGTGGCTCAATACAAATCTGACGATGAACGGGCCCTGTAGCCCCACACTAGAGCTCACTCTCACCCAACAGGGTGGTGCAGTGGTAGCACTCTTTCCTTAAAGTGACAAGGGTCTGGGTTCGGTTCTGGATAAACGAGCGTCGAGACTCAGCGAGGCTTTCCTGGGTGAAGAGCGTACATTTATTTAAACTAAATAAACATAACCTCACACTACAGCCTAATACTGCATACCCAGGCAGCAAGCACACTACAGCACCCTGTCCAGTACTATAGAGCAGCACCCAGCACTGGAACGTGACAGAGAGTGCTAGAGTTTCACCTCAACATCCAGCACTGCAGTCAGCACCGATCCCATAATTTTAGCTCAGCAGGATACCTCAACACCGAACACATTACTAACTCGGAACCATGATAAATCAATTCGTTCAGTGACAGAATTTATTCAGCCCACGCACGATACGTGCACTCAATCGCCTGTGTATAAATGAACGATTTTCAATGTGTACAACGTCCATGGGGTCACGTTACGCCCTGCAGCCCACTAGAGATACTGCCATTCCCTGCAGTGTTAAAAACAAAATACAAAACAGATTCCCGAATCCAAGCTCGACTTGGAATCGTGACATTTCAGCGCTGCAACCCGGTAACCCAACGCGGCAGCCCCATCCATCGCTATATCCCGCATTCCATTCATAGAACATCACCCCTCTACGAGCCCAACAAACCATCAAATCCCTACCCAAACGAACAGCGATGGCGGGCGGTGGTCAGTGGGCGGTGGCCGCCTGCTCCGAGCGAACCCCGTGGCCACGGCAGCGCGCCCACAAGGCCTCCCTCCAGCCAATGCTCCCAAAACCGGAACGACCCAGGATCTCATTGCGGCACTTTTTTTTTTAAGAGAGAGAGAGAGCAGCGAGGGACATCACGTGGGAACTTATCTCAACGCTCATCGGGTACTTCATGCGAAGCACTCTCTTTCCCCATCCTCGATGTCACTCTCCGCCTCCTGCAGGCAGAGCCACCAGCCTCTTCGGTTGCATCAACTGCAAAGTGCTCATACCCAGGCGGCACGGCCACCAGCTCCGGCCCTCAATGTCCCACTTGAAATGCAATCCGTGTTCGAGCTGCACATTAGCCAGCGCATTTGTTTGCTGGCCGCTTGGCTTGTTGCATGGTTGGTTGGTTAGTTGGCTGATGGGTCGGTAAGTTGGGCTGTTTTTTTCGTCTTCTAATTTTCAACAAAACGATTCCAGACACCTGAAAAATATGACCCTCAAAAACAAAGCGATTTAAACTGAAAATTCAACCTCGCAGTGCCACTCCTTTTAGTCAGGCAAACCTAAAAAAAAAAATCCAATCACAGCTCGTACTTTCAAAGTTGTTTGATTACTTGATTTGCGTTCTTCTTAAATGTGGCTTTTCCATGGTCACTTCGAAGTGAGCAGGCACGATTTGTGAAACAGGCCGAGTGGGGCCGACCCGAATTCCCACAGCAGTCTAAGCCCGCTTGCTGAGTTCAGGGCTGCCACCTCTTGTCCGGGTTTGACATCGTGCAGTCTGGGAATTGGCATCCGTGTTTAGGGGGCAGGTAATGATTTGTGCCGAAACATGGCGCTGGTATTTGTGTTGAACTTTATCAGTCGCCCTGCACAATGTTGACGATAGACCTCGTGCTGAATGAGGAATATGCAGTGGACAAGGTGGTGACCCTACATGAGCCGCCATTGGAAATAGTCGTAAGGTCACGGGGTCAATGTTGCAAAACCTCGTGCCCATGTTACAAAATAACAACTTTTATCTTGGGATAATATACGTTAACCAAGGAATACCTTAAACCGTGTGAGTAATAAACATAAATGTATTTGAATCTAAATAAAACATTATTCAATAACTGCCTTAAATGTAAAAAAAATGCACGAGCGACAACGTGCTCTGAAGAAAGGCAAATGCCTGAAATGTCACCCATTGCATATGTTTCTTATTCACACAGTGCTATTTCTGCACGTATTGAGTACACATTATTTGTAGCCGTGCACACTGCCAATGCAAGTATCAACCAAATATCCTGTTTACACAACTACACTCGCTTTCCTACAGCCAGAGGGAACGGAGGCGGATGGGCGGGGGGGCAAACAGGTGGGGTGGGTAGGAGGAAGGGGGATGGGTGGGTAGGAGGGGGGAAGGCGAGGAGGGGGGTAGGAGGAGGATAGGAGGGGTTGGTAGGTCGGAGGGGTGGGTAGGAGGGGTAGGAAGGGGGTAGGACGAGAGGAGGGGAAGGGGTGGGTAGGAGGGGGAAAGGCGAGGAGGGGGATAGGAGGGGTGGGTAGGAGAGGAGGGGGTGTGGGTAGGAGGAAGGGGAGGGTAGGGGGGGTTGGAGGAGGGGTAGGAGGGGAGGAAGGGGTGGGTAGGAGGGGTGGGTAGGAGGGGAGGGGTAGGATAGGAGGGGGAATCTGTCGAGCCGCACGGTTGCGTGGGATGAGAAAGAGGGAATCGGTGCGGGGCTGAGCCAAGCGTGGCCCTGCACGGCCGAGGCTGCTTGTAATTGGGGGGGGGGGGGGGGCAACACGCACGGCATGGATTCACATGCATGAGGTTGGTTAAACGTTGTAAGTAATTGAATTGTTCATATAACAAGCACGTGCCACCATTTACTCCCACGTATCAATAATTAAAAAAAGAAAATCCATCTCAGAATTAAAGAATTTTAATGTAAAGAAAACCCCATAGTACATATCTACTGAGGGAAATTCGGTAACTACTTTGTTGGCAATGCAGAAGAATGCTAGACCTGCAAATTGTTGGTTTTAATTACACGTCGTTTTTATTGATTGATTTATTTCATGGCTCTCAGCCTTGTGGAAAATATAGTGGACTTTAATCTGGAAATGGCAAGTGACACTGTAAAATCATTGTTAATTAAAATGCAATTTCATTGTCCAAGTTTCATCATTGTTTGTGCTCTTGTAGTTTTGATGAATCATTTAATACTGGTAGGAACCTCCTGGTTCCACCAGCCCACAGGGGATTCTTGTGTCCGTCCGTCGTGCAGGGAGGGGCTGGGTGGGGAGGGGCTGGGTGGGGAGGGGAGGGTAGGGAGGGGCTGGGTGGGGAGGGGCTGGGTGGGGAGGGTGGGGAGGGGCTGGGTGGGGAGGGTGGGGCTGGGTGGGGGGTGGGAGGGGTGGGGCTGGTCACCCCGTGGTGCCCTTATAAAACCTAACGTTTAACCTACTCACGCCGGCTTGTGCCCGCCCTCACAGTCGGCCATATTTGCGGAATACACCACGCCGCCGTTGACCCTGGACATTGGCCGAGCAACCCAACGTTCCCACCAGCTCCCTCCGCAGGAACGTGTTTATTTTCCATCTGTATGCTATGCCCGTGGCCAGCTATAAAATGGGACATTTTTGCCAGTATCAAAGTGTGAAAAAATAAGAATAGGTTTTACCCTTTTTCTCCATCTCATTTGTATTATTTTCTCCATTGTTTCATCTTCTTTCTGCCAGTTTGTAATTGTGCTCCATAACCATAAAACGGTAACATTCGCGTGTCATTCACATATCATTTGCAGCAACAAATATAAATAATTCTTCCAACACAAATTGACGCACGTGCATTGAAGTCGCAGTAATCGAATCAGTCGACCAATCCGTGCCTCATAAATGATGGCGTTGTTAATGAATAGACACCCATCAAGGTAACGCATCGATGTGCACGGAAGCATTCTCGCGTGTCACGTAAATGTGTGTGGGTGAACTCGCCTTGCGTGTAGGTGCACGTGCCTGTGTTGACACGTCTTTTCCCGTGAGCATACTGCTGCTGCTACTGCGTGTG